ATATATATATACGCAGGAGATGAAAATGATGTTTTCATGACAATACATTCATCAAATGAGATTAACATGCCGTCACCTGGTGAAAATTTTAGTCAAATCGGATAATAATAATTTCTGCAATATATATGTATACATATATGCATAAAATGGATCCACTCTCTATTTCAATCCATTTTTACAATTTCAAAAAGTGTCACATGGAGAATATTATTGAATAGTAGTGGTATTTAATTTGTTGTATGTGCTAATAATACAGCTGAGATTAAATAAAAAACATGAAATCTTTAGCAGTTTTCATTATTAAAACTGCTACTGTTTTATAGTTTGCTCACTTAAAGAATTAAAGTTTTTTAACTTATTTATAAATGCAGTTATTATATGAAATTATCATCCATCATTACTATTCATTTTTATTTTTTCCCATTAAGTAAAGTTGCACCAAATGATCAATTTACCATTTAAACATGTTAACGGAGTAAACTTTAATGGGTTATGTAGGTGAATTAATATCGTTATTACTAACTGAAAAAAGCAAAAATGGCATGACCTTTTTCTTATATTCACACTAATACCAAATTTTTTGGTAAATATTTTTGCTGCTACTCTGTCTGCTTATATTTGTGTAAACAAGTAGTGTAATATTCAAAATAGGTGCTGACTTACTTCAGAACTGGAATGAAATGGATTTATCCTCATTTATGATAATTGCCTGTAATTTAAAGATACTTCTAATATATACGCTTTTCACTATTGTAATGTTTCCTGTAAAAACATTTTTTCTTATCTATTTACCCCAAGATATTTATTTCATGTTTCCTCTTTTGTTTCATATCACTGTATTATCATACTGGTTTTTACTATTAATTCATCTTCTTATGGTCTACTTTTTGCCATGCCCGCCTCATTTTTCTCTCGGAGCCTTATGTAAATGACTACATAATTTTATTCAAGCTCTACTTTTTGGCTGTAATCAAAGAATGAAAATATTGTATGTGTACAGCTAGTGATCATTTTATACAGCAGAATTTTTACGTACAACAGAAGTAATGACAATTTTGTATGGCAAAGTTTTAATTTGTCATGTAATTGGCATGTATCAAATTATTTGTTTTAGTTAGGATTTATTTGCAGTCTTCACTGTTGTCATTGTTGCAGAAGTTCTGTCGCTGTATGATTGCCATACAAGTTCATTTTTTTGAGCCAAATTGCACTTATTGTGAAGGCTTTGATTAACAAAATCGGAACATTATTTGTAGATGTGATTGGCTGAGTATTATTTTTCGCTAAAATTACACCAAAAATATTATTTTGAATAATTCAAATGCACATTTTATGTAAATTTTTGGAATTCAATACATTAGCCAAAGCATATTGTCTTATTTATTGTGATTGAAAAAATATTCAGCCAAAGCACATGTAAAAGAGAATGCTTAATTTTGACGAAATTTTAGGATTAAAAAAATGAACAAAAATGCACTATTCACTTAGCAGTTCTAAATAATCGTTCTTATCAGTGCCATCTCTTGATTTTAATTTATCAAATTTAGTACACATGGATTAGAAAGCTTTTAAAATTTTATGTTTTTAACAGTTATATTCAAATACTTAAGCGTTTTTGGACAAACTTTACATTTTACTTTCGTTATTTTCAATACTTATTAATGTGATAATTTAATAATTATTTTTCAATTTATGCGATAGTTATAATAGTTGATGTAATTTTCCACCTGAAACACTGCACAAATTCAACTTTTAGTCTACATTAAAAGCAATTACTTTTTAACAATTTGATCTACAAATCACTTTTTATTTTCAAAATTTCAAACTCTATTTTTTCACAAGAAAGTGGATAATTATGGATAACCTGTCTAAGTTAATGAATTTGTATTATATTTATGGTGCTCACTTTTCATGATTTTACACTTGTTACAATCTGTATTAACTTTGCTGCTCTTATTCCAATGCAGTTTAGAATAAAATGCAGAAATTTTGACAATTGCAATAGCTGAGACCAGTCAAGGCATCATTATTACTTTACTTATGTTTTGATTGCATTCTGAAATGTTTACTTACTCAGATGTTGAGTAAGCATTGTTTAGCATAGTTTATGTTTGCCAACATTTTCTCCTAGAAAACTAAATTGTTGATAACATGGAAACATAAACATATTTTTTCTTCTATGACGAATTGATACTGAGGGAATTATAGCGTGTAACAGAAACCACACTTTTTGTATTTTTCGTTTTCTTGCTTGCAGTCTTATTGAAACTACTTTTAATACATTTTTGATCTAAAATTTCTACACAAGTACTTTTTTACATACTTGAATAGAATCAAAATTTCATAAATTTATGACTTTTTTGACAAGAATCATTTGTGTACTTTTGTGCAGTAATTGCAAAGTTATTGCAAAACAATGAGCAATATTCAAATATTATGATGATTTTTGCAGAAGTGAATTTACTGAATGAGGTAAAATGGATCACTTGGTTCCAATTACAAATACAGAAAGTTGTTGCAATGATGCTTTTAAAGCTGTTCGAGCAAATCATTTAAACTGTCTAACTAAAATGAACAAAGAAGATTTGGAACAAAAGGATATCAATGGACATACACCGCTTCATATAGCCTCCAAACTTGGCTTCTTGCAAGTTATCGAGTAACCTTTTCTCTTTCTGTTTTTAAAGTGCTCATGTAATATTTAAAAATTGCAAGCTTACAACCTTCAAATATGATTGCTTAATGAAAATCATAACTGTTTTGATGTTTAGTTTACTTCAAAATGAAGCACCAGCGACTAAGGATGCCTTATCAGTATTTGGCGAAAACCCTGCGCTTGTTGCTGCAGGTGAAGGACAAACACTGAGCGTTGAATTATTGTTTAATGGAAGCTCTAAACACGCACTGAATCTTGCCCAACAACGAGATATCAACGGTACATCAGTATTGATGGCTGCTGTTGCTCGAGGAAACAATTCTTTAGCTTTATGGCTTTTAAGACGTTTTGGAAAGCCACTGGCAATGTTACCTAATAACTTTCGCATGCTACCTTTACATGTTGCTGCTGCACAAGGTTAGCAACATGCTATTTTTGGTGGATAGCATGCTTAGGCTTCATATTTATGCAAGATTATTATTTTTTAATTATAAAAAAGTATAGTATAGTAATTATAATACATACGTTTGAAATATATAAAATTTAGTAAATTTTATGCCGTCAATACTTACCTTTCAAATACTGCATATAGAACTCATACTTGCATATATCCAGTTACGACACACATGAATTATGTCGTGATTACATTTTAATTGATTGCAAACACAGCATTTTCCAGTGCAAAATATCAGCCCAAAAAAATACAAACAATGGTTTGTAGGTAATATAGAATTTATCCGGAGTGCAATCAAGTATGATCGACGTATGGTCAACTTTAGAGATTTATTTGGTAATTTGTGTTTATTTGTTTAGCCTAAATTATTTTATTTGTGTTAGGGAATCAACTCTGCTTATCTGTAAAACACTATTAATAGCCTCAATATTTATAAATCTCATAATTACTATCACTAATATCAGTTATATGGTGACCCTTTTACTAATAATTTATAATTATTTTGAAAAGCAATCATATATTGTTGCATAGGATGCACTCCCGTGTTCTATGCTGTTCAAGGTGGTTGTTTCAATTGTGTTCGATTGTTGATTGAAAGAGGAGGAGATATTTGTGTTGTATCTGATAAAGGTCAATCTTTGTTGCATGTTGCATGCTTATCAGGCCATGCTCACATTGTTCGCTGGATAATACGTCGTTCCACACCCAATGCTATATTGTGGACTACAAAGGATAATGCAAATGCTATCCATTGTGCTTCATGTACATTTTTTATTCATTTCAACATTTGTTAGAACAAAGTAAATTTTTAACAACCATCATTAAATCCACCTGCTTCAGAAAATGCTAAGAATTAGGCGAGATGATACTGAGAAGTTTAGAAGTTTCGCAAATCACGTAAAGTGAACAATCAATAAACTTAATTTGTACTAATCATAATATGTTTTTCAGTTAGACCATGTATGTATTATTGATACAATGTATAGAAACTTTCAGACAGTGGGAGTGTCGCTACATTGAGTATTTTACTTCAAAGTATACCTCAGAAACGCCGACGACAACTGCTAACTTTACGAGATTCTCGAGGCAATACTCCCCTTCATCTTGTAGCTATTAATAATCACATTGATGCTGCACAGTATTTGGTTAGTTTCAAATATGTAAGTGCAAATCACTTCACTTAGCATCATTTTGGTAGCTTATCAGTAAAAAAAGACCGTTCCCTTTAAGCTAAGTGATGTGGTTCTTTTGGCAGGCACAAAAAAGAACCACTTTTATGGTTCTTTTTTGTACCCAATTAATATTGTTAGAATTTCTACCAATGAACGCTTGATAAGTTGTATGATATAAGCAACTTATTCAAAAAAAAGATGCTTCCATGCATGTAATAGTGAAATTTTGCACATTCTCTTACTGTGGAACTTCCGGCGTATATTATGTAAAAAATGCCGTAACTATGACGATTAAAATACAATATTTTTTTAGTAGCTTTAAATATTGATGCATTGCATTTATCAATACAAAATATTAGCTTAAAGAATTAAAATTTCAGTTAGAAAATGGTGCTGAAACAGGATTACTAAATATAGCAGGACAAACAGCTGAAGCTATTGCATATTTACGAGCAAATTATAAACTTACAAAACTTTTATCGTACTGGAGAGGTATGGATCATAGTAAAAATTTTTATTTACGACTAATCAATACTGATTTTTTATTTTCCGTAGTTTATTATCACTCAGCATTAAATATCAAACGTTTATGAGTTTAGAAAGCATTCATTACTACTGATGATAAACAATTTGTTAAAGAACGAAATGAAAAGAAGAGAAGAGCAAAGCTTTCAACAACTATATCAACCGATCCACACTACGGGGATAATGGTTATTCGTCCGGTTATTGGAGTACTAGGAGCCAAACAATGCCAAACAGCTCAAGCCATGTTGTGCCAACGAATTTCACTGTATCACCATCAACCCTACATCAAAACAGTGTTCTTCATAATTTGCCAAAGGATAATTCATGCAGCAACATCCCTGTGTATGCTTCGCTTCTATACTTTCGAAAAGTCAAACCTCGTCATATGAAACCAGCACTTATCCCTGTCACAAGATGATAATTCTTATTATAGTAAAGTAGCAGTAAGTGCATTACGCCCAGTAACTTACATTGCATCGGACGAAGGTGGCCGAATTTATGAAGATCATTCATTTCAAACTGACTCTGATTCTTTACGAGAGGCAACTAAGGTAACTGATTCTTTTCCAATAATTTCCTTTATTCCGAAGAGATTTACTTACGGAAAAAGAGAATCATATATTGTTGCATAGGATGCACTCCCGTGTTCTATGCTGTTCAAGGTGGTTGTTTCAATTGTGTTCGATTGTTGATTGAAAGAGGAGGAGATATTTGTGTTGTATCTGATAAAGGTCAATCTTTGTTGCATTAAAAAATTAAAAAAACAAGTAGGACAAGCTGGGTGCACTCTTTGCTATTACATTTCATGTCAGTGAGCAGGAAAAATATCTACATGGACTTACACAAACATGTTTTAGAACCGAAAAGTAAAATATATGTCAGTGATTATATAGGTTCTCGATGAAGATGAATGGAGAGAAAGTCTAGCAGCCGTCGCACATATTGACAGAGTTCTACAAGAAATCGACCCCTGAACTTATAGCAACATTTAGCTTATCCGCAGCTCTAACTCTTCATTTACTTCCAATTGATTCATATTATGTGTTACTCATTACTTTTTCATTTAATTTCTCTTAAAATCTTGTTCAATGCATATTATTTATTTCGTCTTGAATAATGCAAATGTACAAGTTAATTCCGGCAGCAATCAATATTTAAAGCATTTTGTTATACAAATCACTATCTACAAATTCTATGTTTGTATTATCCTCCAAAATTTATAGCCGTGCGAACTACTTGCGATTTAATTGTCACTTTTACTTTTACCAACTTCATAACACAAAGCTGGCTATTTATTTTTTTTTTCGTATTGCCACAATCTAATAAAGTTTCTACATCCGTTTTACCAGCATGGCACTGGCTCAATATAATTTGACAGATACTTTTTTATAGGAAGATTTTCATTTACCATTCCCTAACAGCTTGCATAATTTACAGACATTCACTCCAATCCAGGATGTTAGAAGAAAATTTAATTCCAATTATGTCATTAAGTAAAAACAATCACAAATAACATGACATCAATTAGACATGATGTAGGCACAAGTGTACGAAGCAGCGCAATCTTTACAAATCTGGCCTCAACAATTTTGTACACAAGATATGAACTCATTTTGTTGATTCCCTCACCTACGACGAAACACTCTCTTTCCAGGAAGTCTCTTTAACGTTTTATTGATTTCTCGCGTCCCACGCCTACATTTCTTCCTTTCTTGTAAATGAAGTCTTTCTCGCTCTACTACATGCTCTCTTGTTGGAGCCGAATTACGTGATTGCAATTGAAATGCCATTTGACGACCACCAAATGATGTGCATTGTTCATTTTCAGTAACTTCATGAAGACTCTCGCGTTTCGCACCCATCGTCTCAACCTTTGTCTGCAGTACTCAAGTTTTCTTAGATTTCATGAATTTAAGCAAAAAAATTTGCATACCAAAAAATCTAACTATGAACAAAAAAAAATAGTCCTGAAATAAATCAGAAAACAGTGAGTAGAAACAAGCTCTTTCTTCCTTACTGATGACAAGTATTAGCTAAAGAAACCTAATAAGTAAAAAAATGACACTGCACTTAATGAGACAATGAAAGCCATGAATAGAAATACTCGAAATTTCAAAGCAAGGAACGACCTCTTTATCATCCACCTTTTGTTGTAAGTAATGGCTCACATCTTCACCTGCATCTAATTCAATTAAATCGAAACCTTTTGGTTTCCGATCCTTCAATTTTACTGAACATAGATTTCTGTCAGCTCTCTTCTCTTCAATTTCAGCTTCCATCTGAAAATAGAAAATGAAAAACTTTTCCTTATTTAGAAGCGAAATAAGCTAAATTTACAACAATTTATTTGCATGAGTTTAAAATGATTAAATAACGAAGTAATTTTCATAAATTCCCTTACTAGCATATCTTTTTCCGAAATACTTTCACTGTCACTATCAAGATCACTTTCAGAATCTTCACCACTAACACTGCTCGTGTTGCTGCTACTTGTGCTTCCACTGACATCCACGTCATTCAAATAAATACTGCTCTGCATTTCCAACTAAAATTTATTCGATACTAAACAGTTTTTCACATCTCGTATGAATATTTCACTCACAGAATACTGAAAATTCTCCTGAATTCCAAAAAACGAAAACTTGAACACTATTGTTTGAAAACGAGAGAAACAACAGAAAATGAATATTTTCAGTAAAAAAACCTCTTCTTCGTCTTTACTGCTCACACCACCATTTCTCCTCCGCAATTTCAATTGTTTGTCCTTCAATTTTTTGGAAGCCTGTGCAAGCTGCTGATAATGCTCACTGCTTTCATCAATTTGAAAATCAGCATTCGTGAAAAGAGAGCCGAATCGCTCGTCTGACAGTATGGAAGTTATTTGTTCACTCTAAAATATATGTAATAAGCTAAAAGATTTCACAACTCATCATTTTCAGGAAACTGACAACAAAGATCTCATAAAGCATCTGGAAATAAACCTTTTTCCGTGCTTTTTTATTAACTTTTTTCATTTCTTCCGTCAAAGACAGTTCAGTTATTAATTTTGATGCCAGTTCTCTGTTAATGCTCGGCAGTGTCGGTTTCTTTACTGTTTTATGAGTAACTGGTAAAGAGCGCTGCTCATCAATTTTTTCCATTATCTGAAAACGTATTTGAAGTTTTTAATATGAAATCAAACTTGATAAATATGCCTCAATTGTTGAAAGTAAAAAAAAAAAGAAAAACAATAAAAACGTATTAAAAACTTCAACAGGAAGACAAGAAAAGCAGATCACCTTTCTTTGTTTGTAATTTTCATATGCAAACGGCTGTGTAAACATCTCTGCTTTATTGTAAAGTCGCATATCCATGAAATAACCATGCATATATGCACGCAAAAGATTTGTTCCAATAAGATGTGACAAACCTACTTCCTCAAGCTGCTCTTTTGTCACAAATTTGTAGTCATCATACACTAAAAGAAATGAATGAAACAGATTTAGTTCATTTTGTGAAAAACATAGCCCTAAAAATCTCAAAATACATTGTAAGATAAAAATCAAAACTATTCTAGTATTTAATCAAGTTGTCTGCGTCAGTTTAGAAATGGTTAAAATGAAATCATTCAAAAAATTTGCAAAGAAGACCAACAGACAAAGATAACGCGAACAAAAACGTCTTCTCTGATTCATAAAAAATTGTGCGTTTATAACATAATAAAGCCTAGTAGATATAAAGATATACTGACTGCAAAGGAGACAAAGGAGACCACTTAAGAAACACCAAGCGATGCACACTTAACTCAAATGCGAATGCTGAACAAGTGAACAGTAAAAATCATACCCACTGGTTGTTCCGCTTCTTCAAGTTCTTCTGTAATCATCTCAAGATAAGAACACCATTTAGGAGCCATACCCAGAGATGGAACGAAATATTGTAACAACTTTGGAGCTTCATTTGCCATAAACAGAAGTCCTGAAACAAAATTACTTATGAAATAATGAAGCAAGGCTTCAATATTCCTTTTTAATGCCAATAAAAAGAAAATACAGCCTCGAAATAATTCGGTTTACACATCACGTAAATTACACACCGGAGCCAGGGTAGCGACAGAAACTGTTTAAATTGGATCCAGGTTCGATAGCAGCAAATGGTTTACCATCCATTTCTTGCCACATTTTCAATACACGCATATCCATACTCAGGACAAGATTATGGTCAGGAACAAAATCAAGTTTAGTTATCGGTAAGCCATTCTGATGGTCTTTAATAAACAAGGGTTTGCTGGATCTGATATCGAATAGTAAGATCTGTAATAAAATCTAAAAATGAAATTCTGAAAAAACAAAAGATGAAGAAATGTTTCTAGACAATGAAAAATTTTGTTAAAAAACTAACATGACCGGTACTAGTACCGACTCCAAGATGAAGCGAATCTTTGAAACACAATGAGGTAACTTCTGGTAGCTCACTAAAATGAATGACGTACACAAAAATCATGGAAGATTGAGAAAAATCTGGAGGGAATAACAATTTCATTGCACAAATGAGATATAGTAGTGAGTTAAACTCCACTTATGCGAAGGAAAATATAAAGCGCAATCGAGAATGCCACATCGACTTGCATCTCTATGATCCCAAGCTTCGATATGACCATCATTCGTTCCACAAGTAAAAAGCTGGTGATCTTTATTGAATTCGCAACATGTCAATGAAGAGGACGATGTTTTCAAAGGCTCCAGAAACTTTCCTTCTTCCAAATTCAAGCGCCATATTTCACTGCTGTAATTTTAGTATTTGTCAATCGATTCAGTTAAGAAGTAGCTCTCTATTTATGCAATGATATCGTCTCAATAATTTCATCACAGCTATAAATAAATTTTAATGAACCTCATAGTAGACCATGGTGTCCACGCATTATACAACGATGGTTAAAATATTTTTAACTATGCCATAAATGGGACACAAAAAGCTATTTCTTAATTATAAATTTCATTTTAACACAAAACTGAAAAAAATTATTTGAAACTTAAGTGAAGGTTTTCAAACAAAAAACCAAATACAATAAAAAAATAACATAATTAGAATATAAAGAACCTTGTTTCACGAACATTTGATGAATTAGAAAGATTTAAAAAAATATATGGGTGACAATCTCCTTTCAACCAAAGAATTTTAGCAAGATTCAGTTTTCAGAATACCTTCCGGGATCACATAAAAAAGTGCTAAGAAAGGATGAATAAAAATAAAATAACTCACCCACTTCCCACAATGTACAGATCACTCACTTCATGACAGAAGGCCATATCACGACCAAATTTTGGAATCCTCATTCTGAAATACCTTCCATAGGCAGCATGCATCTCGAGATATCGTTCTTCTTGCAGAAGAATGAACTGAAGAACAGAAGTTATTTTAATGGATAAGCAATTTCTAACCCGCCTATCACCAGAAAATTTACAGAACTCTTCACCTTTACTAGAAAATTATTAACTCTGAAGAGAAAAAAACAAAAAATATTGCAATTTCGTCACATTTCAACTCCATCAATGGAAAATATATCAATAATTTTTTTTTCACCTTAGAATAATCATCACTGAGCACAATCATTTTTACGACATCAGCATCCAGACCTCGTGAAAACTTCAAAGACAGATCATCTACATCAAAACATTTTAAAAAGGGCTTGTAGGTACCTGAAAATTGCCCTATCTGTTCTTTACTTTGACTATTATTGAAGTATTATTTGGATACGAATAAGGCTTACCATTTTTCCTCAAAATAAGTGAACTTTCTTCTTTATGCGATTTCAAATTACTCTAACTAACATAAAACAAACTAGATAATTATATATCAAACACTGAAGTAGTAAGAAAAATGAAGTACAGAAGGTTACTGCAAATTGTTACAGACTCCGTTAGTCACCTAATTTACAAAACTGAAAAATATAATAATAATTTGGATGACTGAATCTACAATACCAGTAGCAAATATGTAGCGTCCATCAGGAGAGATCGTGACTGTATTACTCATGTCTGGCATGTCAAAATCTTGTATCAATTGTATTCGTCTTCGCAAATCTGTAACATAAACTAGTACTCGCTCGTATTTAAATGATATTCATGTATATGTCATGCAGCAGGAACAATTCTAATCTTCGTAAAAATTCAGACCTATATCTTTTTGTTCCAGCTTTCGCCGTCTTCGGTCAGTAATCCAATCCGGAATTGATTTGCCTGCACTTAAATTATAAATTTTGACATTATTTGCCGACAACACCTGCATCTTGGATTAGAACCTACAAAATTACTGCATAATTTACACCTGAAATCAACCAAAAATAAGAATAAATGTAATGACCAACGATACTTTTGAAAAACTCAAATATCTAAGCACATTGTTTGAATTTTAAAACTTGTGACTTCTTAGTTAAGAACCGAGTCTTCAATTACAAAACCTAGCAGTGGACGCTCCGTAGTTCACAATGTTTCCAGTACAAATGCATATGTGCTGTTGCGGTGTGTATCAGTTATGAAGTATTAGGAGGATAGTTGGTACTATACTAATCATAAGTAAAGGAGCATCTTGCTTATTATTATCGTGACTTAAATGTGGTCGTTTTCAATAGTTTTCAAAAACAACAGGAACTAATTTTTTTCGAACTTTTCATTGACAGTTTGTATCGACATGTAAGCAAGGATTTTGTGAATGAAATTCTGGTGATTTTTGCGTTGCTGACATTGCATTTCCTGTGGATGAGATTACTAAATTTGCAGAAAATAATCAGCCTTATATTAATTCAGAAAGTTATTCTCCCTTTTATACTAAATTGCTGTAAAAACAAGTGATTTCAAAGTATAATATATCGATATATAATTAATTATAATATTATAAAGAAGTGCGTATAATAAGTGATGGAAACTGAATCTGAAATGAATTTTAGAAAGTTACTTCATAGAAATAAAAATATAAAAATGATAAACTCGTGAAGAATAAAAAAGAAATTTTGCACATGAGAAAACGGATGCACGTACAAATTATGCAGTGCTGTAATTGCATTGTGCAAAAATTTTAACAACAAACTACCGTAAAAGTGTCTAAGAAATGAACAGTTTTTCATTTCTGTACACGTCCGTATACGTCAGTATGAAATGACTTTGTAAGTGAGGTTGCGCATTACATTCATTCAATGAAAATCCCATTATATTAGTTAAGATTAATGAAAAAAAAAATAGCCCTGAAAATTCCTCAGCTTCTTTGAAATTCTTCGTGTTTTACTTCATGTTTTCAAACGATGCGAAGATTTGAAAGCAATTCACTAATTATTCAGAAGGCTAATGATGCTGAGCTAATATTTTAAAAATGCAATTTGATATTATGAGACGATACATGATCTTGTTGAGCTTACAACCAAAATTGTATGTCCACTTTAGAATCACTATTGGTATCACTAAATATTGATTAACGGTCGTAGTCATGGAAATTTAAACTAGAGGTGAATCAATTTTTGAGTGATTTTCAAAACAGAGGATTCTATTATATCCAGAAAATTTGGGATAGCAAAACAGAGAATAGAAAGAATACCAAAAATCTTCAGAATAGTTTTTAAGAATATTCCCAGTTTCTCAAGTTCTGGTGTTTTGCTCTAGCAAACAATTCACTTCCATATTTCATGAATATATTAATTTAGCGTATTTACAATCATGTTGAAATGATTGTAATTACCCTAATTATAATATTGTGCTTCTTTTTTTAAATTGTATTTCGAAAAGAATCGGCTTACTAGATTTGGTTTCCATCCAAGTTTTCGGTCTTGATTTACATGTTATTCAATGCTTATTAGTAAGCGGTGGTTTTAAGGCTGACGGTGAAGTTTTAGATTTAACCAGCTGAATTTAATGCGAGATGTGGATTCATTGCTTGCTGTAGGTATTCCAGTATTTTCTTTTCAGCTAAACGTATTTCTAAATTATATTCATAATGATTTTTTTATATCTGCTGTATTTTGATGCTACTCCAACGTATTAGAATTTCAACAGTAGTTTTCATACAATACATAGAATTGTTATTAACTCTGCAAACATCGCAGAGCGGTATTAATAATGTCAAGAGATACTGATCCCTTGGAAATAACTCAGTGGGGAGATCATGAGTTCCCTGAAGATCCTACAAACATTGGTAATCCTTTCACTTTCATTCAGCTTTTTATCATTTAATCCATATTAATTACTTTCTTAATTTTCTTTCTATAGATTTCAGTCACTGTACAGTTGACAATCAGTTAACTGCCCAAGAGACTGACGTTACTTCCGAGATGGCCGAAGCTGAGAGAAGTACCAAATTGTTGGTTTATCTTGATTTTAATTAGTTTACCACTGTTTCAAAAGTAGTTATTATTGGAGCGCTGTACTTCTAGAAACGGATAGTTCCAATTCTATGTTAATATTTGTCATAGTCTTGTGCCCTTATTTTTTTCGTTTCTATTAATGATATATATTATCGAGTAATAAAAACTTCGATTCTCTTCGAGCTTTCTGTAGCATCATGTAGTTCCCGTTGATTTTTTTCTTAATTGAAGCATTAGCCAACTCGTTTTTTTATTTCAGTGATAGGAACCAAAATACTGTGATTGAGCTCTCCCCAGTTGGTGACGGAAGTAGTTCGAAAGATGTCAACAATGATGCTAGTTTATCATATCAGGTGTGGATGACTACTGAATATATATATATATA